ATCGACATTGTCCACCCAGGATGAGTTGAGACTTGAAGTTGTCGGGTCAGAAATTGTGACCACTGGAGGGTCAAGTGCACCTAAAAATAACGAAATGATTGTAACATGTTTAGACTGAAAACTGTAACTGATGAAAATATTGTGCTACTAGCAACTGACATGTTTAGGGACTTTTACCCAAACTTCCATTATTTTACCTAAAGTAAATGGATCACTTCCTGGAGGGCTTTCAAATCTCTCTCCTTCTTCTATCACAACTCCTACGACAACAACTTCATATTCTGTGTCATGTGTGAGATCTTCAAGTATGGTCTTGTTCACGGATCCATCAAATACTAAAGTCTGAAAATATATGGAGAAATATTTTATATACTTTGCTTACCTGCTGACTGAACTCCCGATATGGGCTGGTGACCAGAAAAAAGGCTGTTGTTTGCCATATGATTGAGCTATATGATTAAGCTATATTATCGCCTTTCCTCTCCTCAAAACTATTATGAAAATCCTATACTAAATATATATTTATGAATGAAGACTTACTTTAACTATATCTGGGCTTCCAACAGGATGATACCTCAACTCCCAAGTATTTGCTGGCATTCCTATTTCTCCCCATTTTACCGTTGCAGTGGTGTATGTTCTTCCAGTTGCCATTACTGGTGGAGCGTGTAGAGATTCTGCAGAAATGAGATCGGATGATTGAAAATGTTTTAGGAGATGAAACTATTCTGAGAAGAGCATAGATATTTATAGATGTTATATCATCTTATAAACTTTATTGTACAAGCAGTTTTGTATACCTCACCCTTACCCCAGTTACCACACCCACCCACCCGCTTCCCTTGCACAACTGTCTGTATGAGATGCATGCCGCACATTTGTGGTTTAGACCAGTATGGTCTATCCGCCTTCAATACTGATAATTGTCAAATCTTTTATATTGCTTTTACGAGGCAAATAAACATACACACATAACTACTATAAATGGGGTGCAGAAACTCAAAGTCCCTAAATAAAGAACAATAAAGTTCTTCTTCACAACAATGCAGGGAAGGGAGAGGTCACTGAGCTTAGTTATGAAAGGAACCATTCAAGTGGCAATGAAGCTGTAAGCGACATGTCTTTGCCAAAATTTTAATTACTTGGAGTTGTTATCAAATTTTTGAAATGAAATTAAAATAACATGAACATTGTTACTGCTACTAATTTAATTACTTACTTGTAGCATCTGTATCGGAGCCAGGTTCGCTAGTGAATTTCTTGTCATCATCAAAATCCACGGCCACAACTTCGACCTCATATTCTATTCCTGGTTCAAGTCCGGTCAATTTTGTTGAAATATCTTCAGTTTCGATGTGCTGTCAATAGAAAGTAGAATTATGTAAGTAAATAATATGTAAGATAAAAAACAAAGATAGATAATATTTTCAATTTCATCAACCTGCGGGATGTAATAAATATGCAATCAAGGCACACAAAGAAGCAAACATCAATTCTTTTGTCGATAAGTAGATATACATTTACGGCATAGATCAGAGAAAAGTTGTGGACGTGGAACAACTAATTGGTCAACTATTTCAATAATTGATTTTGATTTAGGTAAGTGGATATATATCGTACTGCAAGATCTCATTCAGTTACCAGTTTATATTGGATATGGGAATGATTAACCAGCTATTAGATTCTCATTCATTTTCTTGATGGCGAATTGGTAATATACGACTAGCGGTTACATAAACCACTTCCAGACAATGAGGAGTCAAGTAACATCTCATAATAATTGTCTCCTCTAAATTCTAGAGGTCTACTGATTAGCTCATTAAGCTCATAGTATCACAATACTAATTACTAAGCATGGGTTTGCCCTAAAATAGTTGTTAGAGCAGGGCTAATGGGCTGTTGTAGATTCCAACATCAACATGTCTATGCAACTGAAACAATTAATTGTTGCTTTCAGTTGGCTTATTACTTTGCGCATACTAAACTGATAATAAGATGAGCAGCGTTTGTTTTCGACATGATTAGGCCGTTTTCTTTACTTTCCTCTCTCCTTAATTGATAAACATTTAGATCTTATTCTATATCAACTTTACCTTTTTATTTTCTGGATCATTCTTTGGACAATATGACACCTTAAATAACAGCGGTGTGTATCCAGAGATGGTCCACATAACATCAGCAGTTGCCAGTCCAGTACTGGTGATGTCTACAACTGGGGCCGGAATGTGCTCTGAAAAATTTTTGATTAGTAAAAGATTGTTTTTGTCCCTAAAACGCTGATTCGTTAGTTTCATTCACTATAAACAAGGCTGTATGGCAGCTTCCACTTACTATATATAAGGACCTACTATTCTTAGAAGAGCCGCAAGATTTTCAAATTGCCATCGCCTTACCAATTTATTACACTCTGGTGAGGTGGTGGCAGTGGCATGTCTAGAGGGGGGCCGCCCCGGGCAACACATTATAGGGGTGAGTTTGTTGCTTAGTTTGATGATTTAAATAAAAATATTACAAACATTTTACTCTTACCGGTACTTTGCCTTTAATTTATTTATTCTCATGTATAACAACATCTATATTTTTTTCCCCAAATTATTTTTGAAGTTAGATATAAGAGGCAGCATTATCAGAAACTCGCCCCGGAAGCAGAAAATTTTGACGCGCCACTGGGTGGTGGGCATGAGATTTAAATCGCAGATGTACAGATGGCAGAAGAGTACTTGGTAGGAACTGATTCCATAATTTCTATTAGAATACAGCTCTGCAGCTCCCACATACAGTTGCAGAAATAATCTGATTTTCTAAAACACTAGCCCAACGATACTCTCGTAGTGTTTGTACCAGGTTAGGGTTAGGCCATAATTTTATTAGGTATATCATATATCCAGGTCACACTTACTTGTCTTTCCTTCAGTTACGCCTTCTGGACTTTCAAATTCCCTTCCTCCCTCGGTAATGTAACCTCTGACTGTGACAGTATACTCCTTCCCTGGTGTACAATCATAGAACTTGGCTGTTGATTCAGATCCGTCCACTTCAACATACTGAAAATAAAAGCAATGTTCAAATAAACAGAAAGGCAAATAAGATAAAATTTCCGAATATATCTCGCGGGACAAGAAAGCCCATACGACTGTTTAATCATATGGCAAACCATGCCTCTTGTACAGCTACCAATCTAAGTAGCTGTAAGGTATGGGATTAGTTAGCCGGTTATTGGTTTATAAGCATGAACTTGATGGTGGAGGAAGCCTCAACTAACCAGCGGTTACGTGAACCACCCTGCGGCAGTGACGAGTCCAGCAATCCTGTTGCACATAATTATCCCCCCCCCCCCGAATTTAAATCTTTCAAATTACACTCAGGATAATTGGTGGTGTGGCGAGCATATTCCTAACGGTTAGCATGATGCACCACAACGCCAGGCCATTGCGATTCATTCCTCTTGTGAAATATGAAATTTAGTTTTGTTTTAGATAAGTGCTTCTTAAACTTAGCCATAATAGGGCACAGAGTCGTTATCTGGGACCACTAGGACTTCTGCAAAGCATTCATTACTTGAAGGTAAATTTGCTTGCCGTGATTTGCCTAATTATTTAGCCGCAAATTAATTTACGGTATTCTTTTGCTTCCGATTTTTTGTTTGATAAAAATCCATAAAAACAAACAAACTGGGTTTTCTTTATTGAAGATCATGAAATGGTGAGAGCCTTTGAATGCGGGCTGTGGTACAAATCATAAAAGTTTGAAAAATTAAAATACCTTAGTTTCGCCAGTTTCCACGTCCACAAGTGTTAGTTCATAACGATCGGCAGGCATTCCTATACCAGTGAATTCAACATCTACAGTTGACAGAGTTGTGTCAGTGACTCGAATATTGGGTTTGATAAGAGATTCTGTAGATTCAATGATTCAAGTTAGTATATTAGATATTTAAGTTAAGCAAGTAGCTCAAGTGAGCATGTTAAATTCTCTGCAAACAAATCTTTCACTAGTGGTACTCAACCTTTTTACTTTTGTGGGCTATTTTCGTTGCAAAAAAATGTTGTGGCCCTTTAACTTTTTTAGGGAAAAACTGCAAGAAAAAACAAAATCTTCTGCAAAAATGAACACCTTCATTTTAATATTTAGAATGAAAAATACCATCCAGTAGCAGAAAACAGCACCATCAATCATTGGTACTACAATCAAAATTAACTATAGTGACACAAATAATACTGGGGCCCATGTCAAATGTTACCGTGGCCCAGTAGTAAGCCATATCCCGCTGGTGTTTTAGAGCAATGATTCTCAAACTTTTATGATATTTGTCCCCTTTTCAAGAACCCTCAAAACTTGTGGTCACCTGCTCCTCCCTATAAATACCTAGTTTTACTTATAACGTTTTATTCACTTATAGGATAGGATTTAGATATTTATCCCGGAAAGAGGAAAGTGGAAAGCCGACAAGACGACTTAATCATATGGCGAACCACGGCCTCTCATCCAGTTACCAGTTCATGTTGGTATGAGATTAGTTAGCCAGTTATTTTTTCTCGGAAGCATGGACTTGATGGCGGGAAAGGCTGTAACCAACCGGCGGTTACGTGAACCACCCTATGGAGGAAAGGAGTTCAGCAATCCACTTGCACATAACCTTTATTTCATGGGTTTAATATTAAAAGGTCAAAATGAAAGCAAAAAGAACAAATGCATTACAGTAAAAGAATTTAATTCGATTTCATTGCATGGGTTATATAGCTGTACTAAAAATCAATTTTGCTGTCAAATACAGTAGCCCTTTATTTGAAACCCTATATTTTTTTTATTTCAAACCTGCTGCGTATTTGGCAGCCCAATATGCAGCCCCTCTACAGAGGAGGCCATTCAAGTGTTGATTGGAACCATATATCCATCCCTATTCTAAGCCTGTTAGGCCTCTATACAACTTAAATGATTATTGGGACCTTACATTCACTTACTAACCTACTGTCTACATGGCAACCCAACAGCCCTCTGCAACACAAAAGTCCATTCAAATGACTATATATAGGGTTTCCATTTAAAGTCTTGAAATTTTTTTTCAATTGCAAAGGAAATTTAACGATACCATATATTGTTTTGGTCCTCACAGATGTATTAAAGAAGTAAAAATACTTAAACGATTACTGATTAAAAAACAACAAACCTGGTTAAAATATATTGCGAACTGACTTCATAACAGAATTGAAAGTGTAAAGGGACTTCATGGACACCCTGTATATGAAGGACTATATAGCCATCCCTACACATAACTATTTCTTCAATAAATTTACTTGTGGTTTCTGTATCTCGGCCCGGTCCACCAGCGAGTTTTCCATACATTGGTGTGACAACTCCTTCATACAGCTGTCCTGGTTCCAGACCTTCAAGCAGTGGCGCTTCTGTGGTGTCTGCGTCTGTAGTGATCGTGAAAGTTCTATTCTATAAAAGGTAAAAATTAAAAAAATTATTCAAAAAGACTTAGTTGTGGTCAGTGTGGTGACAGAGTCTTAGAGCCAAGATCTGAAGCTCGATCCGAAATTCGGGCCGGGTCGGGCCTGAAATGTCAATCATTATGGCTTCTTTTCTCGCTGACTTTTTTTTATTAAATAAATACCGGTATATGTTTATAAAAAATATGTACTAAAACTACGTGTGGATACTAAACTAGGGGTACTTGTTATAAAATAAATGACAATTTAAAGAACTTCTAAATAAAATATGAAATTTCAGGTTTGCTTCGGTCTCGAGCCTGCAAATTCAGTTTATTAGGCGGGCTCGGGTCGATTCGGGTTTAATAACCAAGGGCCTGGGTCGGGCTGGGCTGGAATGTTTGGGCCGGATCTCACCTCTACTGAGTCTGTAAGGTCAGAGATGCATACTTTTATTGGACTCGTAGCAAGGATTGCCAAAACAGAATATTTTACTATTCTGAATACATTCTGAGAAAATATATTTGAACATGGAATACTTTCTAAATTGGGGGAAAATCATTTAGAAAATTACAAAAAACACTATAAATTTATGTTGATCATATCTAAAACAACATTGGTCAGACGAAACGTTACAGAAATATATTTGTGTTAGTGTGCAGCAAGACTCTTGAATTGCATAATATAAAGGTCATTGGTAGTTGGTATTAGTTGAGATTTTGTAACTTTGTTCTGCTTGTCTGATGGCTAATCCCTAATTTAAATATAAATGTTCTGGATCATTCCCAAATTCGAAAATTATCATATTGAATATGATAAATTTTGAGTGTACTCGAATGTTCAATTGGTTTTGAACATTCCTGACATACTACACAGAGTTATGACTTTGGGTGGGAATTTTAAATTTGGAGACTCACTCATCTCTGAGCAAAGCTACATGCACTCACTCAGTAGTAATTAAATATAAAAATACACCATCTTGATAAGGATCAAGCCATACCTGTTCTGGAGAAGTTATTGTCAAGACGTATTGAGACAATAAATCCCCACCAGCCGGCTCCCATTTGGCTTGCATTGTAGTCAAAGTCGGGTTGAATAGATCAAGTGTTGTTTCACCCAAGAACACTGAAAGTATCATAATAGATTTTTGAAGTTTCGAGTTTCTAAAAAGTATTCAAACTTTTCCTTTGAACAGAGCTCTGGGCAAGCAACTATTAGTGCTGTATTTTACAGACCATAAGGGGCACTTTATATCCCTTTTTCTCAAAAAACGATCGTGCGTCTTCTTAGGGGATGTGCCTGATGTATGAATCATGTAGTGCTGTTTGCTTCACTACTACTGAAAACCAGAACCGGTGTTGCTTTAAAAACTTTTGCGTCTTATAGCCCGGTACTTATGTATAAATAAAAACTCAATCTAAGCAATTTATTAACAGTGCGCCTTGTGGTTCGTAAAATGTGGTACATATGGAGCTACAATAATAGTGATAACCAAAACCATTGCTTAAATTAAATATTTAGTTTTTTAATTTACAAAACATTTCCAAGTTTTTACTCTGAACAAGCAGTAACTAATCAGTGGTGATTGACTATGTTTGAAAAACCACAACAAGTGCTCACACAATTTTTATACCCTGGGTTTGGAGTAAGGATATGGGTAGCAATGGGGAAAAAGAAAGGCAATCAGGAGGCAGAACATGGGTTGGACTAGATATAAAATTTCAGGCAAATAGTGAAAGTAAGTGATAGTTTGAGTAAGCACATTGTGTATTTTGACTAACAGCACTGGGTCCAATTACTGCACTTTTATAGTGAGAGCATTGGATGCAAGTCTTTAAATCTGAGCCATGGATCTTCCGATATCAAGTCAAGTCCCAGTTCAAGCAAGTTTTGCAGTTTGAAAAGAATCGGTGTTGCCGAAACAACATCAACACTATGACACGAAACTTACATCCTGCCTTGAAGCTTTGTTATTTTTAAAAACCAACTGGGATCTAATAAAAAACTGGAATCACAACATCAACAATACCCACAACATTATTCAGTGTGGTAAAATTGAATATATTGAGATTTCTTTGCAGTTTTAAAGACTTGCCCAGAGTTTCTTTGCCATTTAGTCGGGCCAAGCCATGTAACTTAGATAACTCGGGTCACTACAAGTTAAAGAAAATGAATCGAGTTCAAATCAAGTTTAGTCAATGGCTTCAAATATTTATATATTAGTATATTGTCCTTAGCTGATATTATATTTGTGACATGTCACTCAACAGTGTCTTAGATTAGCACATGTATCTTGTCTCTGATATAGGCTAATGTTAGGGTTAGGCCATAATTTCATTCCAATTTTTCTCATTTTAGTTCTATTACGGGTTCGAGACTGTCTGTGTTAGCCAGGTGAATATTCCTTGTCCATAGGCTTCCGTCCCTTTACACAACTTGATGTAAAGTAGGCAAATGAAATTAGTTACCGCCATATAGGTACACACACTTCTGGAGTGCCAAAAATTGCATATATTGGGTATCCCCAATACTGCTGTGAGCAATACTTACAAGTAGTATTCTGTGCTTTTATCGTTTCAGATTTCAAACCATCTGCTGTATAAGCTGTGACTGATACTAGATATTCTGTTCCAGGCTCAAGTCCTTCCAAAACTATTGCTCGTTCTGAATAATTTTGAATAAAAAATTTAGATTGAAAATATCCTATCAAAGACCATGCATAAAGATGCATCTGTAATGAATAGGACCGGGATAGGATGAGATTTACACTTTTTCCATCCCGGGGAGAGGAAAGCCGATGAGACGGCTCAACCATATGGCAAAGCACAGCCTTTCATTCGGCAACCTGTTCATGACAGGTATGTGATTAACCAGTACTTTTTTCAGATGCATGGACATTAATGTGGAAGAGTAACCATCCAGCGGTTATGTGAAACACCCTACAGCGTCGAGGAGTCCAGCAATTGCCTAGCACAGGGTTTTCCAAACCGATGTCCGCGGACCTCTGGGGCCCCACAACGATATGGAAAGAGTGGAGGCTTGCCGTATAGTTGGATCTGCGAGTTTTCTTGTCAAATTGCTTCGAGAATCGATAAATTTTGCAATGAAAGCAACATCATGCATCACATCAATGTCGTTTGTATCGTTGTGTCATGAATGGAACATTATCTTATCTCGTTGATGTTGTACAGAAATTGATACAGAATAGGATGGGGGGTCCTTCAAAACTACGATTCACAAATAGGGGTCCAGAGCCCAAATAGTTTGGGGAGCTCCGCTCTATGGCCATTCAAAATATCATAGGAACTAAATAAATTGTTAAATTAGGTGTTTGCTTTTTTAGAAAGTCGTTCAGTTCCTATAGGGGTATGTGGGGGAATACCTGTTAGTCACCCCTATTTCTAACTGATTGGCATATCTACAGAGAAGGAATATTAACCACCAGACTGCATATATGACAACTTGTTGGAAGAGTTCATTCAAATAGCATTTGGGGGAGGGGGAGTGGGGTGTCCATCTTTATTTCTACTCTGCTGTCAAAGCGAAAACCGATTAGTTCTATAAAGTAGGGTGCAGGACATTCAAACATATATTAAAACCATACATACATCCTTCTTATTCCTGTTTATATGGTAATTTATTAGCCCGCCCAATGTAGTACCAGCAATCATTCAAAAAGATATTAGGTTCACTTACTAAATTCTTAATACTATTAATTAAGACTTGAACCAGGTAGAAACTAAATCGCATTTGTTTGGTAAAAGAAATTCCATGAAATCAAAGAGGAATTAACTTATTAAATCATACACACCATTAACAGTGACCTCAACGGTTTCACCATCGTCGCCTGCTTTTTTATATCTCACTAAGTAATGGTCGATCATATCTTCCAATTCCGGTGACACTAAAGACCATGTAGCTCTCATGGTTGTGTGTGTTATATCAGTGAGAGTCAGTGATTCCAAGTTAGAAGGTGCGATTGCTGAAAAGAAAAATGATCACAATTAAAACCAAAATATATAATATAACTATCAGTAGAGGTTTCGAGAGACTAACAATCCTTTCTCAATGCTTTTGCGCTAATGGATTCGTATGCGTATAATGCAACGATGCTGTAGCAGCAATAAAAATACCATAATATGCGATTGAATAGCATATAAAGAATCTAAACTAGGATTTTTTGAACCCTGTACCTAGGAAGAGAAAATAGGATATGATGGCCTAATAAGATTTTACAAATTTATGCCGAGAGAAAGGAAAGGGAATAAGACGACTCTATGAAATTTTTTAAATTAATTCTGAGGAGAGGAAAGCCTATAAGGCGACTAAATACACTTTCGCTCTGAACAAGCCTCTGTGAAAGCAGCTCCTGATACATAAGAAGAGTATACGAATCTTGGAAGAACTGGAATCTCATTCGTTCGGCGTCGCCTATAATTCGGCGTTAGAAATATCACAGTTAGAAATATAAAAATCAGTGAAAAATGGAGAAATTTGCGATTTTTTAAAATTATACCAGGGAAAAGGAAAGCCGGACCAATAGCTCTCTCTTGGCTGCCTGTTCAGATGGATGCGGGTATGGTTTATTTAACCAGATAGATCAGGGGGGGGGGGGGGGCAAGGTTTTTGGACCAGGAGCCCCATATTTGCCCACCTAGACTGGAGGGCCATGTAAGTGTGATGTAAGAAGTTGAATTTTATGAACAATATTTACAGTTTCACAAAAGTGGAAAACGATAAGACTCGTGCCAAAACTAATTTTGATCGTAATCTCAACGAATTCCTTGAGCTATATTTTAGCTGAAACATATCAAAATTTTGTTTTAGTTGGTGGTGGCGACATCAGGCGGGCCAGATTGAATTACACAACGGGCCGGATTTGGCCCGTGAGCCGCAGTTCGCCCAAGTCAGAGTTAGATGCATGAACTTTTTATATAGCTTTTATACGACTTTTATTCACACGTTCCTTTCTGACCAAGGCCAATGATCTACTGATGCAAAATGGTATGTAAAGATTTACTTTTTAACTGTCTAAAACAGTGGTTTCAAACGAGGGGGACGTAGACAATTTTTTTGGGGGGGGGGGGCGCACAGCAAATTAAAAATTAAAATTTTTTTGTTAGTTTTGATCTTGTCCGCCTTATTTATTTTTAAAACTTTACATTTATTTCATCATTCACGTTCCATCCACGTAATTTCAACATGTTTTTTGAATATAAGATTCTTTCGCCTCACTATCTGATATTTGTAGCTTATTGTTAGCTAGTTCCGATTGAGGTGGGGCGCTAGACTTGTCAAATTCTTAAAAGGGACCTTAAAAAGTTTGAGAACCACTGGATGTGAATTAAAGAGACATAGAAAATGTTCAAAATGTTTTTATAAATTTATCCCAGTGGTGAGTGATGCCGACGGCTTCATTATGTAGCTAACAATGGAATCTCGCCCGACTGTCTGGGTCTTTATATCAATCAATCAAATCGTTTTTTATTAGTCATTCCGTTAAAGCACAACGAAATGAAAGCAAGAAAGATCACAAAATATTTGTATACATTCATGCCTTTGTACCGGATGGCAGAATAACCGTGAAATGACCATTCGGTCTACTTGTCAGCGGTAACAAACTTACGGCTACAAAATTTGCACAGCGCGAAACGTTTTTATGCGTGAGAGAGAGATATGGGCATGGTTTATGTAGGTGCAGTGTACCAGATGCTCATAAAGCAAAACGCTATCTTTCGACCAACTGGTGGGATATAGGAATAAATAAGTTAATTTCATCCTTTCCAAGTGCAAGGGAAACGCATTCGCTTTTAACATGAAACCGGGCAAAACATGGATGACTCATATAGGTTAATGAACGTACCGGTAAGTATCTAAGCGGCGGTATGAATTACAATTGTTACGTCATTGTTGACTTATTGGTGATTACTTATCGATCTCGATCGGTAAGTATGTTGATAGGCATTTGTCTGTCTGTTTGTCTGTTAGACACTTTTGCATGTTACGCGATATCTCACGAAAGCGAGGTTGAATCTACTCCAATTTGCCATGTGCATTCATCCTATCTCGGACCATAAGTCTGTTGATTTTGGATGAATTATGTCGTATAATTAGCGAGATATCAATTAATTAAGGATAGGACACGCGGTGTCGCTATTGAGTCTGAGCGAAAGATACACACACCGCTAGATCGATAAGTCGGCGGTCTCAGATCGCTATGTCGTTTGTAATTGTTATGTGAATAAACAAGGTAATCAATGCTCATGGAAACATCCGTAGACTACTGGATTTGAGGGGCGCTTTGGGTTAGGAAACTTTATGCATATCGTTAGAGTTAACATAAGAAAATGAAAGTAGGTAATATTATGTGTCTCGTGGCTTAATCACACCGCACACAGCTGGGCGATTATTAAATGCAAATTAAGAAATTACATTGCGTACAAGTAATGAAGTCTATATATCTTCACTCCTTCGGGAAATAAGAATCACAAATTCATTAAAAACTAATTTATATTGTAGACTGGTGGATTTGTGTTTACAGACACGGGATTAAATGATTCCCGCCTGATGGTTTGTCTTGGTACTGTTAACAATGTTAGATAAATACCCCGCATTTCTGTGCAGACTGTGGAAACAGTGAACAATTTAAAATCGACTACGATTCCGAGTTGAACGATTTTAGCTCCGACTCTCGAATCCGGTAAGTAAAATTTTGACTCCGAGTTCATCTCCGAGAAAATCAAATTTTGATGACAAAAACTTTGGAAATTGCATGTCAAGGATAAATAAAGCACAACCGGTGTTAGCAAAACGATGTAATTTGCCAACGTTTATAATTTCTATACAGAAAAACTTCATCAGGCCATGGTATGGAAAGCATACCATCGTATATATATAGAGAGAGCAGAGAGAAAAACGGGATAAAAAAAGAGGGAGGGGAAGGAGGAAACATATCAGTTTTTCTGTATAAAAATTATGCCTATGGGCAGGGGGTATATTTCCTTGGCTAACACATACGGTCCCCGAACTCGTAATAGAACTGAAATAAGGAAAATCAGAATAAAATTATGGCCTAACCATACCCTGATACACATACTACGGGCGTACCAATTTACGAATAGAATGCTTGAATATAAACAAAAGTTTAAGGGTGTGCTTTTATATGGAAATTTGCTGACAATGAAGCGTCAAGAGGTTTAGGCTATGAATAAATTGTTACAGTGCGTGGCGTAGAATTGCACGTTAGCAACTACCAATTGACGCGAGATTTGAAGAATTTCGTGTCTATTTGAAAATATCTTCACTTTCTAGCTTATTTTAGGTGCTTTTTTTTACAGTTTTTGCATGTTTTAAATTATTTTTTGGTGATTTTAGACGTTTTTGAATTTTTAGCGTGTTTGTGATGGTTTTGGACCGCTATTGCACGTTTGAGCATGTTTTAGGGGTTTTTTAACGTTTTTTGCATGTTTTATCGTGTTTTGTAGGCAAAACTAGTCAGAAACCACCATAAAACGTCTCCAAGAGCTACTTTGGCTATAAATTTATATGTAGCGTAGAATTACACGTGAGCAATTACTGATAGACGCGAGATTTGAAGAAGTTCGTGTCTATACGATCATAAAAGAGTTGGGATAGACCAGGGTGGACCAAACCCAGGCAAGCGGACTGCGTGTGGATTTTGGAATCTTGCTTTACGAATCTTCTATCGATGTTCGAAAACACTTACATTTGCGGAATCACTTTCTCCGTTATGAAGAGTTTGAAATTTACTTAATGTCGATATAGAAAGACTTTTGTACGTTTTAGTGAGTTTTTGCTTTTATGCATGGTTTAGCTTGATAAATGACAAATACTGATCATGATGTTTGCACAATAAAAGTGTTTGTTTCGTATTGCACTGTTTACCTATTCTTGGCACTATTGTGTCCCGCGAACAATGCAAAAAAAATTTTGTGGCCTCCAAAGCCGACATCCTTGGAGCATCCTGGGATAAACATTCAACTTTGCAAAAATGATTAGAGTGGACATATGGCTGAGAATACGAGGCTGAAAAGATCGAGTACAGGGTGTCCCTAAAGTCCTAATTTTTTTTAAATTGCAAAGGAATTTATCGATACTGTTTTGGCCTTCACAAATGTAATAAATGAAATAAAAATACTTAAACAATTACTGATTAAAAAACAACAAACCTGGTTAAGATATATTGAGAATTGACTTCATAACAAAACTGAAATTGTCGCCCTGTACGTTGGTTGGCGCAAACAGTTTTCGCAAAAATACCACACGGAAAGTTATGACTCGGTCATGCATTTTTGTGGTGCAATAATCAAAAATGTACGGTATTATATTATTATATTGCAGACGAACGAGTTAATATTTTCCCGACGTGTTTTCCGATTTATCTTGTGGATTCAAGACTAGACATTGTCTCATTTGGGATTTAAGTCCCATACGAAAAACCTACGTAATATACACTTTAAGCATTTGTATGAGACAGGGCACGTGTCTATGTGTAAACCATAGTCTAACGAGGTCAAACGTACAACGATAGTTATTATTGGATAGAATATGAATTGCCTATTTATCCCGGGAAAGTCAATGAGACGGCTTAATCATATGGCGAACAACGGCATCTCGTCCGGTTACCAGTCCATGTCGGGTATAGAATTAGTTACACATTTTTTTTTTGCAATACCTACGTAATAAACACATCTATAAGTTCCAATAGATAATGCCATATATTCGAATTACCGCCTTGTGGCCACATTTCGACACTACTTTATTAATATATGTGTCGAGTGTCAAATTTGTGGGACCAATTTACTTTGAAGATCCGTATATAACATCACTGATACAGTAAATACCGGTTTTTACACGGGAACTTAATCAAGTTAACACTATCAAGGAAACAGCTGTATGGATGGAAATTCAAGACATCGTGTGTGTGTTCTTGGGAACAATTTTTAGAACGAATTTTGCTGATATACGGAAACCTTGGCATTGCACGAAAAATAAGACATCGATAAAGAGATTGAATAATATATAAAATTGCAAAGGTAATTTATCGATACCGTATATTGTTTTGGCCCTCACAGATGTATTGAATGAAGTAAAAATACTTGAACAATCAGATCAAAAAACAATGAATCTGGTTAAGATATATTGAGAACTGACTTCATAACAAAATTGAAAATAAAAAGAGACTTTATGGACACCCTGTATATCAAATTAGCGTTAAATACCACTATTAGCGACTCACATTTATATTAACCGCGTGTATATATGGGCAAAAAATTATAAACTTTATGTAAACTGAAACCCGCAGGGAAATGATGTCTCGTTAATAAGTCTTGTCTGCGGTTTGATGCGATTGTATGTTTAAAATCCCGGGGGGTGTTGACGCGATTTCCCTACATAATGAATAACGAATCGCTTCATAAATATATAATTAGGCTTATAGCGAATGTTTTCTGCGGTTTAGGAATGAGGAAATCAATGCTATCCTGATATAGCCCCACCATTAATTTTCAAATTTTATTTAGAGCGTAATGAATTATGGGGGGAGTTCGTATTACGCCATTATACAAAATTAAATTTGACCCCCCCCCCCACTCTCCAATTTTGGGCTGGCTACTCTCTTGGGCTCTGAAATCTTACGGTTTTCACACAGTTGTCACATTAAATATGAATTACACCATGGGGGAAGTAGCGAAAATATGCTAATCACTGAATCAATTAAGGCGTTTAGTGAACATGCGCCCTTTAATTCACGATTCTTCCAGGTTCAAACGAGAGATGTGTCATAACATGGTTTCCACACAGATGCAACACTAATACGAAAAACCACGCGACAGACGGGATTATGAACAAATGCTATAGATACTTAAGAAAGCCTTTGCTATTCTCATGATTGATTACAAATCCTTACATAAGAGTCATTTTTGATACACAATTCTCGACCACAAACCCCTAATGATTTGGTGCGACAAGATCGTCTTGATTATAAATATGTCGATGTATAATGTTGACAGCTGTTGCATTAATGTGGAAGACCGCACATCAGTGGAGTAGCGAGGTCGCGTTTGGTTTTGACGCGGAAGGCGGGCTATGATGAGCTCAACACAAGATAAACAAGACCGTTACTGTTATTGGCTCAAACATCGACTGCTTTTAACGCAGTTCAACTCAAAGAAAGATTTTAAATTAAAATGCCATTAAAGGACAATATACGTAAGCAGGGTCAAATGTCATGATTGTATAATGCGTTGCCAGATACTAAAACACAAATTACCACACGGGCTATGATGGCGCGGCGGAAAATCCCCCAGTTGGGAACAAAAATCAGTAGTAAACTTCGTACACCATACCGAAAACCGCGCTGTGCATATAGAATATGAAAGGGCTTAAATACATGAGCCGACGCCGCTTGTCCTCCACATGGTCGCGTTTGGTTTCGGCGCGGAATGAGAACTGTGATGCAACAAGCATAGCAACAAACAAGTACTTATCCCACACTTTTATTATAGCTCAAACATCGACTGTTTTAACGCAGTTCAACTTAAAGAAAGAAATTTTAAATCAAAACACCGTTAAAGATTGCAATTTGTCTTAAAAAAAACAGCGTTTTTTAACAGGCACGCTCGCTTAGAGATTTGTTTGGAGAACAACCATACAACTGTTGTGGAATTGAGATACTTGTACGTTATTATTCAGGGAACAATACGAGTTTTGATTATTTCCAATTTAAATTTATTTTATTGAAATATTTGACGATTTTACGTTTCTTGATATTACCTAGAAGGGTCCTATTTACAGAAAAACTTGAGAACGTAACATAAAATCATAGCTATTCGCAATTGTAACTAAGAGTAGGGATTACGTGAAACTGACTACCTTTCCTTGCTCTATATCCCTTTGTGCCGGTTGATCCGTAGCGTATAACGCCAGGATGCTGTAGCAAGAGTGAAAATTACTATTCTATCCAATTAAAGAGTCTTGCTGCACACTAACTAAGTCTCTTGAATTGAATATTTGCAATTGTGTCATTTTTTGAAAAAAAGTCAGAAAGCACTTTTTCAGTTTTATTACCTACACAGCCCTTTTCATCTCGGTCCAACTTGTAGCCATCAGGGCAGGTGCACCTGTACCCTCCCGCCGGTGCTGGCTCGCATTTGTAGCCACAATCTGCCTCGAAACATGGGTCGTATACTAGAAGTGTAACAGAAAGGAAAGTAATGCTTGCTCGCTATATTTGGTTTTGATTTATCAGTTATTTTTGGAAAAAAATGTGAATTGCAGTGGAGAATAGTGTTTCAAATATAATTGTCGATTAACGTGATTTCCAATTAACATTGAAACTTTTTGAAAAAAAAAATGTCCAAAATCTGTTTTCATTTTCGTACAATTTTCAAAACTTATATGTGAATATTCAAAATCATTATTCGCACCTTTTATGAGATGTAACATCTTTTTTTATTTCTTGTTCATGAAAAACTAGGATATTGAAATTACCGGTATATTTTATTAAAACATTGTATATATACCAAAATAACCAGTTATTTAACACAAATTTTTAGTCATTTTCAATAAACACCAAGTTAACATTTTTCACCCCAAAATTCATTCCATATTATCTTTCAACTTTTAATAAAAATAGTAAAAACTTTGAAAATCAAAATTTTTTTCTACTAAAAATTTCAAAAACAAAATTTCAAATGAAATGACGTATCAATGGAGTAAATCCGTGTTTAAAAATATTTGAATTTTGTTATTTTAAATATATGAATGATATACCAATGTTAATTCGATGTTTTAATTCTTAAAACCAAAATAAACCCAAACAAAAGCTTAAATTAAAAAAAAATCATCACCAAGAGCAACCAAGCAAACTCAAACTTCCTGTTATGACTTCAGAGCTCCAAAATCTATTTCTTTGCCCGAAATTTTCTTTTAATACTATTAGGCCTATAATTTATTCCAACAGGTTGTGGTTCTCACTGCATAATTTTGTCTGTCTATGTCCGCTTATTACGTGCCCTCTATTCTCCTGTCCACGTAGGGTCTGTGTCAAGCGGTATTCGATGGAGATAATTTGCGGAATTCTGGAGTATTTGGCTGTTTTTCGTGTAATTTTACAATGAGTTGCTTCAAATTTTGTTCTACCTTATTGTAGGATGAAACTTTATTTACGATTGTGGTTTTCACTGCATCATTTTGCAAGTGCAGTTTTAAGTATTGTGTGGCGTCTGAAGCTGCCGCAAAATCATGGCGGGATTTCCAAAACATGGCCGCTTTGGCCAAAACATGGCGGCTGATTTTTTAGCTACCACAAACCTATGGCGTAAGCGGGTAGCCACGGCAGCAAATTAAAAACTTTGGTGGCTAAGATTGTGCTGCCGCAAACCAATGCATGTAGGCTGTAATGGCAGTACTGCCCCTGATGGGGACAAACTTTGGGTAAGTTTGAACATTTTTCTTATATATAGATACAGTTTTGGTGGATTTTGCGTTACGTTTCAGGTTTAAATAGATATATATAATCCCGCATTATAAACTAAAATCTTGTGCATGATTTGTGAATATACAGGTATTAGCGCCATAATCCATGGCAAGAACCGCAATCGGTTCGTTCGTGACCGAAGCTTCTATGAAGTGGTGGTGTGCGACCAGTGGCGTATCTACTCAAAATGGCGCCAATGGCAAAATCTAAAAAAGCGTCCCCTCGATAGTTGTTTGACAATTTATAATGATTAATAATGAATTAGGATACTTTGATGTATTTATTTGAGCAAAAATACGAGTTTCAGTTAATCCCAATTTGAAATTATTTTTATTGAAACGTTTTTATAATTAATACTTTTTGCCGTTTTCACGCCCTTGTTCAAACGGAGCCCATGGCACGAGCCACGACTGCCACACCCCAGATACGCCATTGTGTGCGACTCTCATTTTGTTTGCCAGTGCCCGCTTATTACGTTCCCTATTTCCTCGACTTGAAATGTTTGAGTCCCGTCTCGAATGGTATTTGATAATTTACGCGTTTCCGGGTCTGGTTGTTTTCATGATCGTATTGAGCATTACGTAAGCAGTTATAACTATATATGCATGAGGGTGAAAAGTGAGAACTTCAGCTTCAGAGTGTTCTATGAGTGCCCTTTTCTATATGTGCGCTTGGGTGTGTATATATGTGCACTTGGAAGTATATATGTGCGCTTGAGAGTGTATATATGTGCGCATGAGAGTATGTATGTGCGCATGAGAGTATGTATGTGCGCTTGAGAGTGTATATATGTGCACATGAGAGTATGTATGTGCGCGCCTGAGAGTGTATATATGTGTACAGTATTAACTTTCATTACTTGAAATTGAAACCAAGTTTTCATACAAAACAACATGTTGCAAAACGACTCACAGGTCCACCTTGTTTTCTGAAAGCTAGCGCAAGGAAACATATTTCGAAGCTCAGGAATTATGTGATTGCAAGCGCGTGATACAAATTTGAAACATGCAATAATTTATACATTGAGCGATGCTGAATATGTCTTTGCAAGCAGAAAGCAGTCAATTATATTTTTGAGTTCTTACATTTTAAGAGTTTATGCATGAAGTATAAAAACATGAATTTGAGATAGAATATGATTGCCCAGCCCTTTCGCGAACTTTCTTTCGAGCGACTAGCTGATTCGAAGTATAGTTCTTGCGATTAAGGGTGTCGCTGCTCGATAACCTATATTGTTTTTTTGCGGTTCCCCTCAACCTGAAACGCATTTTTCATATTTTTTTGTATATCCAGTGTGTTTTCAGTATGGTTAAGAAATGAATTACTGATTCTTGAGTTTACACGAAATGGTTCATCGATATTTCTGCATAACATCTTTATAACATGAATCAGAAATTGAATATTTTCTATTCGATGTTGTGAATAATGAAGAGAAATGATTTATTAAGCTAATAACTGGATATGAAAGCCCAAAGAAAATACATCACTTTTCGAATTCATTCACGGCATTTACACAACACCACAAAACCAGTTATAGCCTACATAACGAGCTTCAATATTGAAAAGGGTGGGAACTTGCACAGTTTCTCATATTTCAATTCAAGAATACAACTCCAATCTTAATTGAATTGGACTCTATTCGTTAGTTTTCAGTTGTGTTTCGGAAATTCAAATATAAATCAGATAATTCAATGATCACTCTGTCCTCTTAGGAATTTTAATTTAATTGCAGTAATAAAAAATCAGTGTAGGAATAGCTGTGATAGACTAGGCTAGAATTATTTACCGCTACTTTTAAAAACAGATTGTTGTATGGGATGAATCACAATGATGGTTTGAAACAAATACCCCATTTTACGAACGCGAACTTGCGAAATCACTCTTGAAATACCCCCGAAAATTGGGCAATGGTAAAGTATAGGAAGAAATTTTGGGGGGTCAAAGGTCGGGGAAAGGTCCATAATCTTCAAAATAGGACCGTGACTCGTTTAGATGAAAACGTAGTATATCAAGCTATGTGCGGATAAACATTTCATTAAAAATATTTATATAAAACAGTCCCTCCGAGTAGCGCTCTATACAGGAAGAGAACAACCTACAACGGTCTACTATCATGTCTCAATTTAAAAATACCACCACGATGTCAAAGAAAATACGCCTCAAAATCCGCCAACACAACTCCGCCAGTAAAAGTCGCCGACTCTTCGGAATTTAGTAATGATAAGTAAGTAACCGTATGAAACATTCAAATAAAACCAAACATTTCGAACCCGATTAGTAAATTAGATCGAATAAATAAAACAAAATAAATCGATGACGTCACTACATGCTTATGACGTCATCGGTCACTTACGAAGACAAGAAGCGCGGTCATCTTGTAATACGAATCCATCCTCACATCCGCAAATGAAAGAGCCAATAGTGTTCTTGCAAGTCTGTTGACAATTGTCGATTTCTTGCTCGCATTCGTCGACATCTATAGGATAAGAAACACGGTGTGTTAGTTGCTGTTGGCCAGATGTTTTATGGCGCTTGTTGATTCAGTGAAAGTTTGCGCTATTAACTAAAGAGAAAAAATAGGTCTTCCCGAAGTATGTGAACCAAGGTGGCGGACACCGGAATGTAGTATGTGTACCAGGTTAGGGTTAGGCCATAAATTTACTCCCATTTTTTTTTATTGTTTCAGTTCCATTACGAGTTCAGAGACTAGCCAAGTGACTCCCGTAGTATTTGTATCTGAATTTATGGCCTAACCCTAACCTTGTACACATACTACGTTCCGGTGTCCGCCATCTTGGTTCACATACTTCGGGAGTATCAAAAAATATTTTTTCAAAGTGTAGAGCAGCGGTTCTCAACCAGGGGGCCATAAAGCAATTGAAAGGGGCCACAATGCAAGGCACAAAATGATTTTACCTCTTTACCTCAACAAGAAAACCACTAGCTTCCGAGTTTCATTGCTAATAATCTACCAATCAAAATAACTCTATAAATACCACTGGAATGATAAACAGGGGGGTCTGAGGGCATGAAAAAACGTGCTAAAAACCTCCTGGCCACAAGCCAGAAAAGTTTGGGAAACACTGATCTAGCAACAAAAATATAAGCTTGTGCCTAACGTTACCAAGGTTGGCGAATCCTTGATTCAAATAAAGCGAAGTTTATATTATAATATGCTCCCTATGTTCGAGAGTTCATAGGTCATGTTTGCTTCCGGTATAACGTAACGAAATAATGAGGATATCATTTGTCGGTGTAGAAGTTGTTTATTACCAACATAACCGGTTTTTAACGTGTTTATTTCGACTCCGTCCGTAATCAGCATAACAGATGACAAAATATTTGATTAAAATAAATAAATAAAACTTATTCCGGTACATCGTTACGAAATAATGAGAAATCGTATAGTTGTTTGCAACTGCAACTAATATTAAGATGTTACTTCAAGTGAAATCCAATGTGCAAATTTTAGAATTGACCATAAATGGGCTAAATTTACCAAAAAGTTGCGGATTTGTGTATGTGAGTAGAAAAATTACTTCGAGAAAAAAATTTATGGAAACAGCGTGTTAGACTAAACTTAGAATTGGATAATTTATAAGGCGAGGAGCTGCATTGCGACAAAGATATCGGCAGGTAGCAGTAAACACGGGAACCTAAATAATTCAAGTCAACACTGCACGGGAAACATCTAGTTTATATTAAACATATCTTTTAAAAGATATTTGTAAAGCTAACATTTATAAGGAAAAATACCTCCTAAAATTATATTTTATTAAACCAATTATTTAATTTCGCTTAGACACCGGTCCCAACCGGTGAAATCAACCCAAAAGAAACATTTTGAAGTGGGCCATAAACCTATAATAAATTGACAGAGTTATTGACAAATTAGTTGAACTTTAATGGTGGTAGCAATGTGCAAGTGCAAAGTGGAGGTGAATATTTTTGCGGAAAAAATTCTGTGTTTTTTTGTAGTTTTTTCCTCAAAAGCTGATTTTTGTGCAATGAAAGTGGCCCACGAAAGAAAAAAGATTGAGAACCAGTGGCTTAGGGCAACAATCCGAGCCTTTAACCAAAAGTTGAAAAAAAAGTGCAGATAAAAGCAATATATATTTATATACCGGCGATAGAAATAGCAATTCACGACTTCGTCAAACACGCCACATTAGATTAGCAAAAATTAAAATTGTAACAGGCATCAATTTCGTACGCGCACTGGTACTATCTTCAAGCAATATTTGTTATCATGAAGACAATGACTCAGAAGTAGCAATCCGTCATCGCAAGCTTGTTTGAGCTTGTACCTCGCGATCTCCAGAATCCGCGAAAACATTTACAGACCTGTAAATGTATCTGGAACTTCCACTCAAGTAAAATTTACTCCGCGGAATAAATCAAATGCCGAATCTCGGAGTCACGTATGAGTAGTTGTTTTTATAGAGCTTTTTTCAGAATAAACATTCCAGGAAACTCATTGAAAATCTTTGGATAGTTTATCGACGAAAACACTCTTGGAAATAACCTTATCAATTAAGTGAACTAGGACGATCAAGAGGTTTTCTTGCCAAGTCAAAAGTAAAATCAGTTTTTCGTCGTCAGCAATTTCGCCCGCGCACTGGTACTATGATAAAATAATATATATTATCTTAAAGACAATGACTCAGAAGTAGCGATCCGTCATCGCCAGCTTGTTTAAGCTTGTGCCCCGTGATCCCCACAATCCACGAAAACATTTACAGACCGATTTATCATAAAACCACCAATTTATGACACTGGATAGCATCTACAACGCGATCCATTATAACAACGATTTGTATATTGAAAGATAATGCCTTGATAAAACAGAATATGACCGGAAAACGGTGTCTCGAAAATGTAGTGTCGCGCCTCGGAATAAAACTCTATATCCTCGTTTGTATACTTTGTATTTGCGTCCAGTGTTAATACTAATTTTGACTTATAGCTAGTATAGCATCTATTACGCCATCCATTATAACGAAGATTAGTATATTGAGAGATAATGATATTCAACTCGTATGAATCTGAAAGACTCGTGAATTGAAGCAGTTATTCTCGGCCTTTTTCAGTTTGTGACCTGTAAAATTCCAAAACTAATTTTGCGGATCGGTAAACAAACAAAAGCATCCCAGAATGTCAAAAATACAAAATACAATTAACCGAATGTAATTTTGACAAAAGTATGCAATTCAAAGGCAGACAATTTAATTTAAAAAGCTGTTGTCTTTTCGATATTATAAGTGTTAAACGCTGTTTGGTTTCAATGAATTAATGTACAGCATCTCCTACACAATCCATTTTACAACGATTTGTATATTGAGAGATAAAATAATTATTAAATAAAAAATTCGTTTCGCGGACCGCACATCTATCAAAATTGTCACTTTTCCGCGGGTAGCACAATTTTTTCATGAAGGCCGCAGGTTATACACCACTGCTCTGAATTATCGTTTGGATATTTTGTATTTGCGTGTAGCATTACTAGTTATTTTGACTCATTTATTGTATAGCCTTTATTACGCAACGATTTGTATATCGAACGATAATGAATTAACGAGAATATCGGTTGGAAACCGAAGACTTATCGATCGATAGTTAGGGGATCCCCCAAAACAGAAACTGCAGTTTCAATTCATCCGCTCTTGTAACTTGCGCACTGCGCATCGCACACACACACTCGGCGGGTTTCAAAATTCTCTCGCTTTACAAAAATCTAGACCACTATATCAATAATTGATTGATAACTCGCTAATTATACGACATAATTCGCCCAAAATCAATAGGCTTCTGGTCCGAGATAAGATGAATGCACATGCAAAATCTGGAGCAGATTCAATCTCGCTTTCGTGAGATATCGCGTGCATCTAACAGACACACACACAGACACATAGACAGACAAATACCTATCAATATACTTACCGATCTTAAGATCGATAAGTAATAAGAAAGAGTATGTCCAGAACGGTGTCTCGAAAATGTAGTGATTTGCTTCGCAATAAAGATCAATATCAGGGTTTGTATTTGCGTATAGTATTGCTAATAATTTTAACGTATCTAGTCCAGGGCTTGCCAAACTATCAAGCTTGCGACCAATGTATTAAAATTTTCCGCACCCCAGTTGAGTCGGCATTGTTATGCAAGCGCACCGCTTCTCTGATCCTATGTATTTTCTCGAAATCGTGAGATTTAATGTTTTGCACTAGTTTAAAAATTGTCTTTCGAATCAAATGTATAAAATGGTACAATAGTACAATCAATTTTGGAACATTAAACTGATTAACCCATGCAGTATCTTAATGCTACTCTATCACGGGTCACCAACAAAAATACACGACAACTTACCACAGATCTGTTCATGTAACATAACAGGAAGGCTTCCGATCAGATCAAAATTCTTGACGTAGAATTGGTGTTTTTCTTTTGGTTCTGAGGCGATCAGGAGCAGATCTTTGTCAGAGATCCGACGACCGACACCAATGGCAAAAAGGATGATTCCCGCGTCCTAGAATGAGTTTATGGATTGATATTAATTTACGAAGTGACAAAAAAACACCCGCCCGATTTTATAGCCTGACCTGGTCTCTTGTAAACGTGGGGGGAAATCGTTAATTCTGTACACGACTCTTACGCTTTAACTGCTAAGCCAGTGGTTTCAACGTTTTATTGCTCTTGTCCCCCTTCCGGGGGCTTTTAGTTTTCATGGCTCCCTGTTTATTATTCCAGTTATATTTATAGTGTTATTTTAATAGGTAGATTCCAAATCCCATTATGTTCAAACAATTCATGCAAAATAAAGTCAAACACCCTGTGAAATAATAATAATCTTATCTGGCAATGAAAATAGGAAGAACGGTGAGTTTTTTTGTAAAGAAAAAAATCAGCTTTGCGCAGAGCAATGTGGCCCCTTTCTAACTTCTCTGTGGCCCTCTTGGTGGGCCACGTGGCCCCGATTAGGAAGGCAATTGCTCCGGCCGAATATAAGGACACAAAAGTCCACTACAGCATAGTATGGTACCGGTATGGTAAGAGCCGAGATTGATAAAGACACTGGTGGAGAAGCGATGCACAAGCGACCTAGAAAAACGGAATTAAAAAAAACGGTCCTTTTAAAACTGAAAATTCGAAATTGAATGGTTCGTTAGTTCCAAAGTGTTGTGAAACTATATGATACTCGCCATATGATTGAGTCGTGTTATCGGCTTTACTCTCCCCCGGGATAAACATGTAAATCCTATTCAAGGACGTTCGTTTTACGTCCATTCATATCCTTTACCTTTGCTTTTTTTTGCCAAAAGTGGACTGTCCTATTATCTTGGGCTCGTCCGTCAGTGATAACTACTGCAACCTTAAGCACATCTGGGTTGTCTGAACGGGCACCGTAGGCTGCGGTGAAGGAATATTCAGTGATGAATTTGAGAGCTCGCCCGGTCATTGTGCCTTTGAAAAGATTTATAGAATCAGTATTTTATTTCGTCGGTACTCCTGAAGTATGCGCACCAAGATGCCGCACAGCCTGAATCTTAACCGGAGTTCAGGTTGTGCGCCATCTTTGTGCGCATACATTAGGAGTTCCATTTCGTCGCCATTATATAAATACACTTTGTACAAAAAATAATAAACAACGTAAAATGGCATTTCAGGGTAAAAGGGGGAGGGAGAAACAGTACTGGTTATCAATCAAGCAGCGACACCCGTGATTAATAGGTCTATCTGTAATCGGAAAAAAAGAAAAACATTTTATCATTATAAAAAACTTTACAACAAACAAACTAACCCACTACATACAAAAATACAAGTCAAGCAAGGTAACCGTAGTAACAGCATACTGAAGAATTAAGATCACAGGGCGAAGCCTTTTTGTGTTATAATACGCAAGTAAAGCACTTTGCATTATGATAGCTTATTTCGTGGATGTCAAATAAGATATTTGATAACATCATTCGAAAAAAGTGACGTAGATAGACTTAGACGTCCGTAAGTATGGCAAGACTTAAATTGCTTTACTGAAATCTCAGTCCCGACCGGGGCCTTTCAAAATAAATTGAAAGAGTAATGATAGAAAAGTTAGAAGCGACGACTTATCCAGGGGTGGGTAACATACGGCCCGCGACGAGATTTTGACCGGCCCGCTGACTGTACATCAGTACATTATAATATTACATTATTACACTTTTAGTACATTATGATAAATTCATTATGTGTTTTTTGGCTCTATTTTTTTGTAGTTTAAACTTTACTTTAAACGCGATTTATAATTTTCTTTCTTGCATTAGCGAATAAATATGTGATTAAGATATTGAATACTATTCATGTTATAATCCGTCCTGCCGAAGACTTCATTTTCCCACATCTGGCCCGCCGACTGGAGAGGTTGCCCACCCCTGACTTATACGCTAAGCGGTTTCCAACTTTTTATTCGTGCTGCGCCAAATTATCAGGGAAATAACTCACGACGCGACACGACACAAAAAGAAGTGCAAACAGTATAAATAAAATTCATATTCTATTTGCCAAGTTGGACCAAAACAGCTGGAAACGTGGATTTTCAAGAGCTTGGGGGCTTGAAACGCTTTTCAGACGCTTGTTATGTATGATAAAGAAAATGCCTCCAATCCTGATGCAAATCCTCATTTATAGTCATTCTGGCAGATAACTCGAGACATAGGAAAATTAATTCAAGTCAGTATTCCTTCTTCAAGGCCTTTTTAGAACAAAATTACCCCAAAAAGCAGTGGTTTTTACATAGGGGTTGTAGACAATTTTTCGATTTTTTGAAGCTAATTAAAAATGAAAATATTCATTTTGCCCGTCTTATTTTGGATATTTACATTTCTTCTTTAGTCGACCAAAAACAACTGCACTAATAAAAATCCTAAAAAATTTAGCTTTTTTTTAAAAATTCTCATTTATTTCATCATTTACGTTCCATACACGTATTTTCAACATGTTTTTTGAATAAAACATAATTTTGCCTTACTATCTGTTATTTGTAGCTTGTAGTTATGAGTTGGGGCGCCAGACTTGACAAATTTAAAGGGGGGGGGGGGTAAAAGTTTCGGAACCACTGACATAAAGCATTACTTACCCATTTCCATGTATTTGATTCCATCAATGGCTTCATTCACTTCTTCTTTAGAGTAATAGTCGTTCAACTTGAATTCTTGCCTCACTCGACTACTGTATTGAACCTGAAATAAGACAACAAAGCTAAAATTTATTGACATTGAAACAGCATACCGATGGAGTCCAGGGAAAATGTAAAAAAAAAAAATATTATATAATATAATTGGGCGGCGGCACATTTTTATATAATGACGTCATACGACGCTTACTCCGTGCCTTTGAAAAAAATGTCGCAATGTCTGAGAGACGGCACAAATTGGCATTGTTACGTCATTGTTGACTCAATACTGATTGGCCATTGTTACAGAAATAAACAGGGAAGTCGATGCTCGGGGAAACATCTATTGCCCAAACAATTCATCCACACAATCAGTTTCAAATAATAAAGGTTGTGAGACATTTTCGCGCTCGTGATCGCAATAAAAGAAGACAAAACTCAGATTCATTTAAGAACAAACTCACCAGACCGATCTGCGTTTCCTCGGGTCCAATTTTTTCAAATGCGTCTACCATGTCTTTCACGGCATCTTGGACTGTCTTGAAATTCCATGGCCTCACACTTCTAGAGCCGTCAATGACAAATACGATGTCCATGGGACGCTGTCGACATTCCTCTGAAATAAAACGCAAGGGGGTGAGTAAAATATCAGTAGAAATTACGCGAGACTAATTCGCAATCCTTTATTGCCTTTATCGCTGGTGGATCCGTATGCGTATAATCAGGGTTGTCCATGAGAATGGGATTCCCAGGGGAAACGTCCCATGGTATGGGATGGGACAGCACACATTTGTATTTCCCATGGGACACGTGGGACACGAATTTTTCTCCCTATCGTTATGAAAAAATCGCTTTACTCCTTGCCACCACAACTCTGTGTGCGAGGATTGCTGGACTCACTGTAGAATGGTTCACGTAACCGCTGGTCGGTTACGGCTTCCTGTACCATCAAGTCCATGCTTCCGAAAACAAATAACTAACTAATCCCACATCCGACATAAACTGAAACGAATGAGAGGCCGTGGTTTGCCATATGATTAAGCCTTGTTATCAGCTTTCTTCTCCCCCGGGATAAACATGTAGATCGAATCCTATCCTAGGAGACTTTATTCATTTATTCATTCATTCAGACTTTATCAGTAATTTTTTTTGTTTTTCACGTCTATTTGTACATGTAATTTAAACCTAAATTTAGCATTTTTTGTTGAAATGTTGAAATTATTTCCAATGGGAGATGGGACAGGCTTTTTTTTGTTACATTCCAAAATTGGGAGGTGGTCCGACCCGCGCGAGCAAAATCATCTGAAATTTCTAATTGCCAATTAGATCGTTTCAACTACCTGGATGGAAATTTTTAAGGGTCTTAAAAGCTCTGGAAATTTTATATTGCTAGTAGGAGGTAGGGAGGAGGGGGGGGGGGGGGCTACGCCCCTGAGCAGAACTAAACTAAATAGGTGGTGGGGCAATAACCATATATAGTACCTAACCGCGTTTCAACAACCCTTTAAAAATTTTGACAATTCTTCCCGCCAAAATAACGTAGGATACGTCAAAATAAATAGGGTAGCCATGACGAATATAACAAAACACCGATAATCCTGAATTATGCGAACTTAGGGCTAACCACATAATTAAGATAACCAATTATACGGTGGTTATGTTGCGGCAATTTAACATTTTAAGCAATTTTGAGGGCTTAGTAAATTGAACGTAACTTGATCTTGTGGTTTAATAAGATAGATTACCTGGGAGCGTTGTGATAGCAAAGCGTTTCAAAGTACATAAAATTGCTATGTAAGATGCATATTTTTATTTTTTTTCCTTTTCAAAAGTGGGGGTGGGGGGAGAGGGGGGGGGGGGGGTCGGGGGTTGATATGCGTCCAAACCCCGTCTCTTGTCTACGTGCCCATCATTCTGAAATTAGTAGATCTTTATATTTGTCAGTACTGTATGGAAACAGCCTTGTTTTGAGTGAAGAGAGTATATATTTATGGGTCAAACTCTATAGCTAGAAGCATAATTACATAGAAATGAAAATATTTGACCTCAAGTGGGAACAAGTTTGAGCTCATTGGCGAGCACAAAGTTTATAGCAAGTTCCTAAAGATTTCCACAAAATATCGGTACTCCCATAGTGTATGTACCAGGTTAGGGTTGGGCCATAATTTTATTCCGATTTTCCTTATTTAGTTCTATTACGAGTTCTGGAACAGTCTGTGTTAGTCAATTGAATATATCCTCTGCCCATAGGCTTTCTTCCCTTCACACAACTTGATGTAAAGTGGGCGAACAAAATTAGTTACCTCCATATTGGTACACACACTTGTGTATTGTTGCATATACTAAACAGCAGCATTTTTAATGTTCATGACTTTTTAATCACTCTGAAGCAACGACGGTATTCTCGTTGGATTCGAGTATTATATTACTAATTACTCCCCTTGTTATTGGGAGTCTGTACTTGAGAGCGTTTGTGAGCATTTTAGCTGGAATTTTGCGACAAAAAGTCAAGAAAAACAACAAGTTTGGAATATTATTGTGAGACTCGTTGTTGGCGAATTATTTAAGTTGTTTAAGAAGTACTTAATTGTATTTTCATAAAGTTCTAGACAGCTCTTCCGGATAAAATGCTGACATAATTTTTAATTTCAATTCAAAAATAAGGAAATGAATCCGGAAATCTCGGGTTACATTGGGGTCAGCAGACTAATGAATGCAATTGCAAAATGCAATATTGAATTATGGTAATGGAGGAGGAAATGTGTGGAATTTGTAAGTCTATCATTGCTTATTTTTTCGAGGAAGCGTCTTATGAGCGTCTGGAACAGACATGGGCATAGTACAACCCGCGTTGGATAATTCAATCAGCTCCGCCTGATGCTGCCACAATCAAACCGAAATCGAATTTTGATGTTTTAGCTAAAAATAGCTCAAGGAATTTGTTGAGATTGCGGTTAAATTTAGGTTTTCACTGTTGCATTTGTAACATTGTGAATATTGTTCTCAAAATGTAACTTTTTACGTCGTACTTACATGGCCCGCCAGTCTAAGTGGGCAAAATTTTTGGGCCCTGGTGAAACCTTGCCCGCCTCTGGTCTAGAGAAACTACTGTTGCGCATTTCTTTTTGGGGCGATTCATACTTTTGCTTCGAAGTAAACTCTTTGTAACTAATAGTAATTTTTAGCAATTCTAGAAGACCGCTATACGCAATGGGTACATATAACAAAAGGAAACCATGTTTAAACCACCAAATTTTTAATGAATTCGACTTCCTTCTGCCTTTATTTAAATCATTTCTCATACAAGTCCCATACTCACCGTTACCCTAAGCGTATCAAATCCATTTGCCTAAACACCCAATGATTCAAAACATTAATTTGCTCAAACGATTTTTGCACAAAAGTACTATCCCCGTTTATTGCATCATACGTGGTGCTGCTGGTTTACTATCAATTTTTGAGTAATTCCTCCTTCAGATAATTCATTGAGTGTTTGTATGAGATATGATCTAGATTTGTGTCTTGAACTAAGCTTTGTATAGGCATACCCAAATAATCCAAATCGTATATTCGCGCAAACGGTTTTCGCGCAAAAGTACTATTTTAATTTATCGCACCCAACGCTGTGTTTTCGGGTCTACAAGACTGTTTAGTATAGTATGGAATGGTACATAACACAGAACGCGTCGTCCAATCAAAACATTTATTAGCGGAAATGGTTTTAGTGCAAAAGTACCATTTCCATTTATTGCACCTCACGGGATGTAGATTTATACGCCGACGATGTATTATGGACCTGCACCTTTAGCGAGGTAACCATAAAGGTGTTTAAATCTCCAATTTTTCAGACTTTCAATGTTTACTCAACCCATTTGCACGACCCTTTCAATCTATCTCAATCCATAACAGATTATCAAATCCAATTTCTAAAACCCATGTTTCCAAACAAGTATTCTCGCAAATGGTTTTCGCACAAAAGTACTTTTCCCATTCATTGCACCTGTCGCGGTGTGCTCGGATTTCTACGCCAACAAATTATTATGAATCTGCACCTTTTAGCTAAAAAACTCCATGTTTAAATCACCCTCAGCATCGAAACATAACCCAAAACGCGTCATCCAATATATTAGCGGAAACGGTTTTTGCACAACTAACAATTTCCATTTATTGTATCCTACGGGATGTAGTCGGTTTCGCGGTTTCCCACACCTAAACTAACAAACATACTGTAAATATCAGACTCATGAATCGGAAAATTTTCAAAGCAACGACGCCGGTTGATTTATTTCTTTTCCCGAGTTGGCAAATAGCGAATAGACGCTATAAATATTGAATTACACATTTAGGATGTTTCTCTATGCCAGGGGTAGGTAAATTGCGGCTTGCGGACTGGATCCCGCCCACCGAGGTGTTTCATTCGACCCACTTGCGTCTGCTGATTTTACGAGTTGAAAATAACAATGAAAATAACGTCATAATGACTTCGATTGTTACATCGTGCTCCTTATTATATAAAAATCAGCCTATCTTTTGGACAAGCTGTTGCAAATAGACTAATTTTATTAATATTGAAAGTTTTGAGCTGCTGGCCCAGTAAGCAGTCATATTATCTGTGACTGGCCGACTCAGACAAGTAATTGACTACCCCTGTTGTAAGCGGTTCGGCCATTGGCGTTTTTGCAAATGAACTGTTTTCATTTATAGTTTCCTATTTAGTTTTGAGCCTCCGGCCCAGTAAGCAAGGCTACTATGTAGGGTTTTGTTTTTTATCAATTCTAAAAAAACATCGTGTTTTAAAACAAGGGTTTGTTTTAAATCAAAGTTTTTCTGTATTTTTTGTATTTTTCATTGAAATCCCCCTTGCATCGCCGCGAAACTACGCCAAAACGTGGCATTCTGGCAGCTGCACACGCAGCCGGAATTATAATTTCAAAAATGTAAGTGAAACTTTTTATTTTTACTTTTATTGCGTACATTTATCGCCACTTTATATCTCCACCAAAGTCATAAGATTTTACTCGGAATGTTTAGCCGAGATATCAGAAAGACGTTTTGAGTAAGAAAAATCATAAAAATTAGCTCACGAGCCTACTACAAAAGCAATTCGATCAAGTGCAGCCAGTAATAAATACACAGAAAAAAACGTCGAGAGATTTAACGCAGCGACAAGAGCAAAAAAAAATGTATTTCAATTTTTATTTTTTTAACATAAACTGTCAGATTAGGATTTTAGGCTTAATTGGGAATGTTTGCAAGGGTCACACTAGAAGGTTTGGCGGGCCGGGTTGTGGCACGTGGGAAATTCTAAAACACGGCTACTCTCGATAAAAAACTTTAGTTGAAATGTTCCAGAAAATCTGTGGTCGTTATGAATACTATTTATGGATAAGGAGTGGAAGATTGATAAGAAGATTGTTTTAACGTTTTTAAGTAATATATCGTAAGAACGATCCCCTTTTATGAATAAATTCCCCAAATTTGGCCAAAATCTTTATCTTGAAGACTACATTTCCTTTTATTAGACGAGACAGCACGAACAGTGTTCATATTATGAGACTTTACTATTGAAGTGTTGATCCATATCATTTGTAGATTCATAACTAGCTTAGAACAGGTTTAACATAGAAATCTCCTGGATAAGCTAAAACCTACAACTGCGTCTTATGCGGGTTTTTGAAAGCAAGACCCCAACACTCATTTTTCCGATGTAAAACTTTTGTTGAATTCCAAAATAGATGGAGTGCATGAGTGACAACTAGCATGGAAACAATTGAAGCTTTTAATATATCCCTAGGATGACCCGCCGTGACCCTTTTCTGGATACATCTCAACAAATTGGCCAAAATATTTCACGCAAAGGCTCCATTACGTTAGACGAGACAGGGTGATCACTGTTCAAAAGTGAGAATGACATATTGAAGCGCTGACCCATAATCTTCGTGGATTCTTAACAATCATATAAAAGCTAGAAAAAGTTTTCTAATTTCAAAGGGTTCTTCGCGAAGGTTCTATTACTTCAGTTAGAAAATACAGTGTGATCAGTGTTCAAAATATAGGAATAAACAGACGAAGCGTTGATCTTTGACCCTTGTAGAACGATCTATTTTAAGATAGTTTTAATTTGTTTTGTTGAACCTCTTAACCTTGCAATTTTTGACCTCTTGAGGGCGCACGTTTGCATAGCAACACAAAAATGTTGTTCAATCAGGTAAAATTGTAACCTATGCTTTATGAAATGAGTTGTGGAAAATTAAGGATGTGAGACATTGTTTTTGATATTGGTGCCCGTGTATTGGCATTCACGGAAACAAATTTAATGTTTTAAAAAGATTACGTTGTCCTATATATAATGAGATTAGCTCATACACAATATGGACAACTCGGACCCGCAATTTCCTGATTGCCTTTCTTTGATATCCTTTATCTTGGGTTAGTTCAAGACAAGTTAAAAAATGTTGGGCTTATTCTAAATTTGCCGGTAACTCGTACTTCAAGACAGGGGTGTGCAACGTTTAGTACAGAAAGGCCAGTACAAATAACTGGGTGAAACCGCTAGCCGCACCTTTATTTAACATAGAAGTTGCACAAAAAAAAATTGTTTATCGATCTTATGCAATGCGTTGTTCGATTCGCTCAAGCAAGCTGTCTTGGTACTGTATCGTCAAAAGCATAGATAATAAATTGGTCTCATATATAGGCTTTGCAAGACAAAGGAATCGGAATTGCTCACATGTACCAGATTAAAAACTAGAACGCAGGTTGCACACATCTACTTTAAGAGATTAAGAGCTGTAAGACATTATGCATAATACTGGCGCAGGATGAAGGGGCGTTTAGGGATAAATATGCGACATGTTTGAAGGTTTGAAAACATTGTGTTACTGTTTACATAATAAGATAAGCTCACACATATACTATGGTTACCTTGGAACCGCTAATTATCCTAGAGTTGTTTTTTTAATGCTATTTATCTCCGAGGTAGATAGATGGAGAGCGTGGGTAAATAGTCTAAGTTGGGGGGTTTTCATGCTTGGCCCCTGCACACCTAGGGGGAATGTGGAGTGTTTTTCAGGGGGCTAAGAGCAGAATCCTTCACTATATTCCATCCGCCGTGACTACATTAAAATAAACTGCAATTAGTTGAATTCTTTTGCCGTAATGCATCTATTATTTCATTTTCGTTTGTTGGCTACTACTAATCCAACAGTTCCTTTCGAACCATAACTTAGGGTAAACAAAATTTGGATCTTTCGTACAAAGCCCCCACTGCTAATGCAAAAATGTGAGATTTGAGAAAACACCCCCACCGCGATCTAAAATAACAAATTATTAATTATCCAGTTGGGCTTAGAGTTCGGGTTAGAAATGATTTAAAATTTGAATTTCCAGCGAAATCGGAACTCCTAACTGTCGCCCTAACGGGATAATTACTATATTTTTTTTACTCAGAGCGGTTTCGGGGTGTTTTTTGTCAGGGAGGATTTTACAAAAAATCCCTAAATTTATATTAATACCCAAACCTGAAAAAATATCACAAATAATAATTAATGAATCGAATACCTTTCTGAGCTTCTGTTTGCGGTGTCATCCATGCCAAAATAATGATGATACCAAAAGTTAATCCTCGGTGGTAAAAGTTACTTCTTCCCGGATTTCGATGCTCCATTTTACCGTGTGAATATAATAAATCCTCGGTGTATTGGGTAATTGGTTAAGCTATATATATTATGTACCTAAATCTAAATAAGTATAAAATACGATTTGGGTTAGCGGTGGTTAATATTTAACTACGTCCTTATCTATCGAGAGTGTCAGTGTCGAATGTGTCTACCACAGGAATACATGTATACAACTAAAGCTGCGTGCAGCTTTAACAGGCTTCCCGCGTAAAAAAAAAATTGCATTTTATTGCTAGCTGAGAACTTCTGCACATTTGAGGTGAATTTCAAGTTTGTAGGACCAATTTGAAAAAATAATAATAATAAATAAATAATAATAATAATAAAACACAGGAATACAATAGGTTCCCTGCTGACAAGCAGCGGGAAGCCTAATTATATTTATGTTGCGTCTTTGACTGGAGAGTGTCAAATTTATTTGCTCAGTGAATGAATGTATACATTTATATTCATACAACCCTTTCGCACTCACACTTTCATGCTCCAAACAAGGCTCTATATGAGCCAGGGATGAACCCCCTTTTTAAATAAAAAAAAACAAACATTTCGGACCTCCTGGAGTATGCGCACCAAGATGGCGCACAACCTGAACTCAGTTGATAATAAATGAAGCACAATCGGTGTTAGCAAAACGATGTAATTTGGCAAATTACATCGTTTTGCTAACACCGGTTGTGCTTCATTTATTATCAACATGAGTTTACCTGGTGGCAATCATGCACAATCTGAACTCAGGTTGTGTACCAGGTTAGGGCTCAGGTTGTGCGACATCTTAGTGCGCATACTTCGGGAGTACCCTTTTTCCGCACCACACATAGCAATTTTTCGTACCTTGAAACACGTTTTAGACAATTAAGACTCTCAAAACCCTATGATCGTACCCGCTAGCTCAGTGGTTCCCAAAATTAATTGACCGGGGGCAAAAATTAGAAGCGGAAGAATATTCGCGGGCCGTAGAGGGGAGCGCCCGCAAAGGGGCCGGTACCGGTACGTTTAATTAGGATACCGGTATAATTGAATTGTCACGAATATACACGTGCCTACACTGTGATAATGACGTAACAATTTGCGGTATTTAGAACACAAAAAGGTAAAAACATAAAGTGTTTAACTATTTGACTCAAGTTGGACGGGCCATAATAAATCGTTACGCCGTAATTGGCCCGCGGGTCGCGGTTTGGGAACCCCTCCGCTAGCTGTTACTGTCTAACTTGGCAATTAGACATTTCAGAATCCCCTCCTTCGAAAAACCGTGGCTACGCCCCTGGAATGAGCAACTACTTTACCGTGGGTAACGACCAGTTTTGAAACGATCGATTTTTTTCTGCATTGCTCACCTAATGTATTACACTTGGGGTGAAGTGCTGGTCATGGAGTGAAAAAATTAAAAAGGATTATAACTTGGTTGGCGAGAAGGCGTGCGACACTTCATTAAATTTTTTTTACCAACGAAATCTGATAGCTTAATTGAGAACACTGGTTGAATCATCGCCTACATCTCGGCGGTCCGGGGTTAAATACTGCGAGTATACTTACTTTAAGTATATTAACAAATATCATTCTCGGCATCGGAATTATGGAAATAGTTCAAATCTCGTGATCCCAACTTCAGAAACCTTGCCAAAACGTGCAAAAATGTTCTGCCAATAAATACAAATATCTGTACCACCCTGGCTACATGATACGAAAACTCACGATACGATGACACGAATTGCTCAACTAATGTATTACACTCGGGGTGAGGTGCTGGTCATGGAGTTGACAAATTAAAAAGGTATCATCGCTTGGTTGGCGAATGGGCGCGCAACACTCGATAAAAGCCATTGTTTTGGCGCTCCAGAAGCGTGTGTACCAATATGAAGGTAACTAATTTTGTTTGCCTACTTTACATCAAGTTGTATAAAGGAACTGAAACCTATAGGCAGGGGGTATATTCACTTGGCTAACACAGACAATCCCCGAACTCGTAATAGAACTGTCCTATAGTACACACACTACAGGAGTAACATTTTTTTCACTTACGGGATCTGATAGCGTAATTGAAAACACTGGTTGAATAATAATCGCCTACAGCAGGGTGGTCCAAGGTTGTGACATCGAAGGGCCGCAAAATATTTTGAAGAAGCCTTTCGCAGTCGGGAAAACCCAAACATGATCAAAATAGTTTACTTACTTTAACTATATTAATAAATATCATTCTCGACATCGGGATTAGGAAAAGGGTTTAAATCTCGGAATCCCAACTCCAGTTGGAATAGCTAAGAATATTCTGCCGATAAATAAAAATATTTGCAAATTCTTAAATTTTTAATCTTTCCTGATTCTAAAACAGTGTCCCCAACCCGAGTTCGCGGTCTCAAATGAGTCCGCGGAGCGTTGGAATGAGTCCGCAACGAGCCAGAAATTCACTGCGGGACGCAAACGTTTTTGCGAAACTTGACCATTAGCAAAGTTAAGATTTAGGTTACAATTTACATAAAATATAAAAAGCAAATTTATTCATATACCATTAATTAATCGAGTCAATAATTACTGGGTACTGAGTTGGGCTGGGCGTATATTCGAATATTCAACTATTAGAATAGCAATTTACTATTCGAAAATTTGGTAACAGGTGACGCGACAGGCCACTTGCTCGTCGCTTAATCAAACGATTGGAGGTCACAACTCACTTGCGGATTTCCGTTCCGACGAAAACACGGGTCGGCAAACGCGTGGATAGATATCTAAGTGGCGTTTCTCGCGATCTCGAACAACGAGGAATAATTTTCTTTTCTGGTAGGTGTCAATGGTGGCAACCTAAATTTTCTAAATTGAAAAGCGGCAATACAAAATACTAAAAATATAGCGGAAAACACCATATGTTAAGTTCTATGATGGTCCTCGACCGATTAAAAACGCTTTTTTAGACATTGCAAATCGCAAAATTTCGGGTGCTACTGTAGATTACAGTACTGGAGTGCCGTAAGTGTTATTTATACAAACAGCTCAGATTTGTCGAATTCACAAAAATACGAATCAAAACAACATATAATTGGGCACTTTACACGCATTTTTGTGTCCACGGATTGTCATGATTTTTTTGTGAATAGTATTGCTTCTATTTCGTCAAAACAACCGCAAATTAAAATGATCACAATTAAATTATTATTAAAGAAAGGCGATTTTTTATTTACTAATATACTTTAATTCTATTTTTAATAAATACTGAATCAAGTTGTACTTTCTGGAAATTTATAGCAGATAGTAGGATTTTTCTAACGGCGATAACAAATTTGCAAGATCGCAAAAAATATGTATCAAAACTAAATATAATCGGGCATTGCATTCTCACATTATTATGTTCGCAGATTGCCGTGGCATTAGAGAAGTAGTGCTTTCATCTTGGCATAAGTCGACGGAACCGCGAGTGACCATGAACACAACTAAACTAAAATAGAAAGACATTTCATATTCTCGTCGTTGTCATGGATTGAATATTATGCGACAGAAAAGGCCATTCATACACTAAAAAAGTTGGCTGTATCAACAAACGCGCAATTACGGCGAATTTCCGATTTTGAAATTCGTTAAAATTCTGTTCTGTTTGGTTTTATTACTCCTTCACGCAGAGTACATTTGCAATAAACGCACGTTGAGTCCGCAAAGGCTTTCGCCGGTGAGAAAATAGTCCGCGACCAAAAAAGGTTGGAAAACGCTGTTCTAAAACTTCAGCTGTAGCCAGATTTAATCTAAACTTTATACGCGCTAAAACTGTCCTGCGGGCCTCACGGAATGTGCCGAGGTTTGGACCGCCCTGGCTACATAATACGAAAATCCACTTCCTCCCAGGGTCGTGATAAATCGAGTAATAAGTTTTGAGCCGGTATAGTTTGATACCTCGATCGAGGAGATCAGCTGATTCATTCATTGCCTAGTTAACACAAAAGCGGACGATTTCACAATCAAACGATATCACAAAAGCAATCAATTTGAAAACGGAGAAAATTTTACGTCACGGGTCAATGCTGAATACTCAAGAACAATAGGGTTAAGTTAGGATCAGTGACCCGTAACGACCCTGAAGAGGGTCTCATGCTGACTCAGATATTGTCTTTGGTTGACCCCAATTGACCTCATTTCCTGGGTCAAATGTGACCTGATTTACAGCTGTCTATATATACATATTGAGTCCTTTTTTCTTCATACGTCACTTATTCCCGCCTTGCGCTACGAACAAGGCGCTGTACAAGCAAGACATTGATATTTCACGATATGTAAGTACTTATAAAAAATGAATGAATAATAAGGCAATCAAACTTGAGCAATCTTATCAAACCTAAATTTCCATAACAGGATGCAGGGAAATACGCAGCTCTCCACCCCCTTCTTTTCAGATATAAAAAAAAGATGCTCCAAAAGTATGCGCACCAAGATGTCTCACAACCTGAATCTTAACCGATACACACATGTTATGTTCAGGTTGTGCGGTTGTGAGGTCACAATCACAATACGTTATCCCAATAAAGGAAAAATATAAAAATTACTTCCAATTGTTTTTAACAATCTGTCTACGATAGATGATCTTATTTTTATCAAAAAACTGGAGTATTTACATTCTCAACACTCGGAACTAACTAACTAACTAACTAACTAACAAATTTCATACAACCCCGCTTTTTGTTCCCGCCGTCGCCGTCCCCTTATTCATTGTTTTACCACTTCAAAAACAAAAAAATAAATAGTGAAACGAAGATCATTGTGGAATTATTTTCCACCTGTTTCCCGACAGTATTGACTTCAATTACTTTAAGTTTCATGCTTTTTGCAATACTGACAGCTCTCAAGCAATGGAAAAACAATATATAGTCTCAACACGTTAACCCAATAAAGGAAAAGTAAAAAATTACTTATATTGGTTTTTAACAGTCGGTCCATAATAGATTATCTTATTTGTTTAATAACTGAAGTATTTACATCCGCAACACTCGAGACAAGTTTGAGTCTCTTGAATTTCAATCTTTTCTTAACTCTAAAACTTCGATTGTTGCCAGAATGAACCTCAACTTTCAACAAATCTTA